AAAAAAAAAAAAAACCCCAAAAAACTCTTTGCAATTATGCAATTATGTTTTTAATATGAAATGGGACAAAAAGGTGAGTCAAGATTTCCAGTGACTTGAGAAATCAAATTCACTATCAGGCCCAACCTAACTGGCTATGGGGTAAAAGCAGGGGGTTGGGGTGGGGGGTGGAGGTAGAGGAGGCGGGCACCTTCTGAATGTCGAACAAAACACACAGCCACTCACTAGGAAAAAAAGTCAACTTTTAATTGTAACTGACCTAACTGCATACAGGAATGCCTCTGAACAATTAAACAAAATAAACACGATAAAATTCACCTATTCAAGAAACTTGGAGTTCTTGCCAGCCCCAAGGTTTCTCAGCTTAGGCTATGAACAGCCCATTCCTGAGGCTGGCTCTGTTCCCACAAGTTTCTCATCCCAAGAAATGTCTGGGGATGAGTCAAGGACCTATCCCCTTCTCTTATCATGCTGAGAGCTCTTACAAAGTCACTGGTGGGTGAGCCTCTTCTCTCAGCCCACTCTTGTCCTAAGGTAAACGGACTCTCTGGGCACCATCCAGAAAGCTGGGAGCGGGGCAGCCCCAGTGCCCTCCTGGCCCTTTAGCCAATGCTTCATTCCAGTCCACTTGGCTGGCTGTTCCCAGTGCCCAGGGTCGGGATAAATAAAATATGCACTAGAGAAAAAAACTCAAAATGCCTCATCATCTCCACATAGCAGAAGTAAAAATAAAACACCCTAGTGAAAGCACCGGCCCTCAGAAGACACGCTCAAACTCTGTCTGGTTGGTAGTGGCAGGATTGCGGTTCTGGTTGGTGGACTGCTGGGTAATCTGGCTGCCCTTTCGGCGTGGCGGTGCCAGGTACTCAAACATAGACGTCAGGTGGGTAGACAGCATGCCCTTGAGGTCTGAAGGCATGGGATCAGACCAGAAGAAGTCATGGTTGAGGGCGTCATCGCTGTCGATGCGCTGTGCAGGATCCAGCACCAGCAACTTGTCAATGAGGTCCAGTGCATAAGGGTCACGCACATAAGCCTTCAGCCTGTCCTTCACTTTCCGCTTCTGGCCTTTGACCAGTTCCAGCTTCTCATATAGCTCATACTTGTCCACATTTGGCCACACCTGGGAGGGAGGGGCCGTGAGACAGTATGGAGTTTGATCAGAAAGGGCATGGCCTTGGTCAAGTACCTAAAGGTACAAAACCAACTTCTCCACTGAGAGGCTCCCAGACCACCCAGCAGGACTCCATCCCTCCAGAGTGAAAGCAGCAGTGCCCCTGACAGATGTGGCACATAACACACGCCAGCCCTTTTAAGCACCGCCTGTACCGTGGATACCAACCCTGATAAAGGTACATCTCTGTTTCAAAGAGAAACCTGAGGCAGCACAGTGGCTCACGCCTATAAATCCTAGCACTCTGGGAGGCTGAGGTAGGTGGATCCCTGGAGCTCAGGAGTTTGAGACCAGCCTAAGCAAGAGTGAGACCCTCGTCTCTACTAAAAATGAAAAACTGAAGCAAGAGGATCACATGAGCCCAAGAGTTTGAGGTTGCTGTGAGCTATACGCCAGAACACTCTACCAAGGGCAACAAAGTGAAACTCTGTCTCAAAAGAAACAAACAAATATAACCAAAGAGGAACCTGGTCCTGAACCTAATGCCTTGCCCAAGGCCACAGAACTGATGACAGCACAGCCCGAGGCTTTTAAGGGCAGACCCTGTTCCTCTCCCAATCTCCTTGCCAGAGAGCTTTCCCTCTGTTCCACTCTACTCCTCTGGCAAGGAGACTTAGCTCTCTGGGGATGAGTGATCTAGGCAGTTTGGCCACATACCTCAGGGGTTATGGAGCCACAGAGCTGGCTGATAAGGGCGAGCTGGTGCTGCTCCGTGTTGCCCTGCATGATAGGGCTGCGGGTCCACATCTCCGCCATGATGCACCCAGCACCCCACAGGTCAATGGGGGGGCCGTAGTCCCGCTCCCCTGGGAAGAAGAGCGTACCAGGAGTGTCCCTTGAGCCCAAGGGCCTCCTGAGGCTCAGTGCCCCAGGGCCAGTAGCTCAAGAAGCCCTGGCAGTGGAGGGCTGTGGCCAGGTATATGCCTGGTCCCTGCCCCCCTCTGCCCGCTCGGGAGTCCTCACCGAGCAACAGCTCCGGGGGCCGGTACCAGAGTGTCACCACACGGTTGGTATATCGGTTGGGCTGGCTGTTCTTAGCCAGGCTGAAGGCCCGGGCCAGCCCAAAATCTGCCAGCTTCAGGACCCCATCGCGGGTGATGAGCACATTAGCAGCCTTCATGTCCCTGTGCAGGATCTGCAGAAGGAAAAGAGGGAATGCTCAGCCGGGTCTGGATGTGCTGTGCTGTCTAGCCACACCTCCCAGCAGTAGAAACAAAGGCCAGCCCATGGTTTCCCCTCCCCTTCTCTGGTCCCCACCTTATTCCTGTGGATGTAGTAGAGACCATTAAGCAACATCTGCATCACCCTCTTGATCTCAGACAGCGTGAACTTGACCAAAACATTGCTTAAGAGTCCAGCAAGGTCATGCTCGCAGAAATCAAACACCAGGTATATACTGCCCTTGCAGCGGTTATAGGGGGAAGCTGAGGCAGGAAGCGTATGAAAAATAAAAAGTCAAAATCACCACACTCGACTCACTTTCCCACAACCCTCTCCAACCCATGGACACCCGTGCTCTCCAGAGTATCCATATGTACATTCCTTCACTTTGTTAAAATATTTTCTGGGCCAGGTGCTATGTGGCAGGCCCCAGGGAAGCAACGGCTGCGATAAAAGAGGACTAGAGAAAGCAATCACCACTGGTGTATAGGTCTGAGTTAAGAGGAGGCAATTTAAGTGTTTCCAGTTTTAACTTTGTAAATAATACCGTAGGCTACTAAGAACTTTCATCTTCTCATAAGATGCAAATAACTTACCTTTGGTTCGGCAAATCTCAATCAAGTTGACCACATTCTCATGTTTTAGGAGCTGGAGGATCTTGATCTCCCGCAAGGCTGTAATGGGGAACTGGGTGGGAGAAAGAGAAGAAGTTAAGATTGAGAGGACCGGAGGCGCCCATAGCTCAGTGGGTAGGGTGCCAGCCACATATACTGAGGCTGGCGAGTTTGAACTCGGCCCAGGCCAGCTAAATAACAATGACAACTACAATAAAAAAATAGCCAGGCGTTGTGCCAGGCGACTGTAGTCTCAGCTACTCAGGAGGCTGAGGCAAGAGAATCGCTTAAGCCCGAGTTTGAGGCTGCTGTGAGCTGTAACGCCATGGCACTCTACTGAGGGCAACATGATAAAACTCTGTCTCAAAAAAAAAAGACAAAAAGACAAGACTGAGAGGGCCTGGCTCTGGGGTCTACATTAAGAGACACAGGGCTCGGCGCCTGTGGCTCAAGCGGCTAAGGCGCCAGCCACATACACCTAAGGTGGCGGGTTCGAATCCCCAGCCCGGGCCCGCCAAACAAC